GGGAGGGGCCGTGAGGGGCCGTGAGGGGCCGTGAGGGGCCGTGAGGGGCCCGAGCCCGGGCCCGGGGCGCGCCCGCTGCCCGGCGGAGTGGGGCTGCCCCCGGAGCGGTGTTCGTTCGGGTTTCGCCAAGGCGGGAGCGGGGCCGGGAATGCGGGCCGGGGGCGAGGCGGCAGCAAACCCATGGGTAGGCTGAGGGTTGCGGGTTTTTTCCTTCTTTCTCTGTTTTCCTCTTCCCAAACCCCCGGCGCTTCCTCCCTTCGGCAGCCGACTCCGCGGGAGCGCCCTCCAGGCCCGGGGGCTTTTCCCCGCGTTTTTGTTTGGGTTTTTTTTTCCTAAAAAAAAATAAAATTTAAAATATAAAGGCTTTTAATATATATATATATATTTTTTTTTAATTTTTGAAGAAGAAGTTTACAGCCAAACAGAAGCGGGGCGCAGTCCAGGACCGGGACCGGGGCCACTCTGCCCGTCCCCGCCGCCGCTTCCTTCGCTCACCGCGCTCCTAATTTTTTTCCTTTCCCCCTTAAACCGGTTTCCACAGCAGCTGTCCGGGTGTGCGGCTGCAGTTGGCATATTTCACGCGTTGGAAAAAAAAAATTAACTGTTTTTCCTTTGTATCTTAATCCAGTGATGAGAGCTCTCCTTTGTTGGCTTTCGGGCTTGCATTTGTTTTATTTATTATAAGGAAATCCAGTTTGGTTCAAATATATAATCCATTTGAGCACTTAAATCCCCAAACAGCTGGCATTATTTTGTTTTATAATCTTTGGCTTTTCTGTGCAGAGCATATTTCTAAATTCCTACTTGACATTTATGGGGAAAAACTTTTTAATGTAAATGGATATTGTGATTTTTTTTTTTCCTGGGTACTTCCTAATTTACATGCATCATCAATTTTCCTGGATTTCCTAATGTTTTAATCTTTTTTCCTCCCTTATAGCTTGTTAATTAATTTTTTTCCCCAAGAAAACTTTTTTTTTTTTTTTTTCTGGAGGGAGAAAGACGTTAATTTGCCCCATTACTTTAATCTCTGGCATTTGGAAATGGTTGAGAGACCACAAAAATGCAACCTGTTGTAGAAACCAGAGTGGTGTGTTTTATTTATTTTAATCGATAGCAGAGAGGTGATTTAGTAATAGGAACTCTGAGTAACATTTAGTAAAAGATTTGCAGATCTGGTGGCTGTGTATGGGGTGTGCATGTGCTTGCATATGAGCGCGTTTCCTTGCAGGCTGATTAGCAAGTGAGTTTTACACTTATAACCAGTGGTCACTGCTGTTTTCTCCACTTGGTGGGTGTTTGTGGTGCCTGATAAATGCAGCTCTGTCATGGCTTCTCCTACTTTTATCAGACTTTCCTTTTAACTAATGCAGCACCATGCTACAACCTTTGTAAGCAGAGGATTCAAAACTAAGCCAGAGAGAACTGATTACTACTTGTTTCTTGGTGAGAGATTTTTTTTTTTAATGGTTCAGAGCTAAAGGCTCTTGATACAATTTGCCTTGGTCGTGGCATGTTTAGCCTCATTATTAGGAACATACAGGATTACACAGGTAATTTGTGTACACCTTAAAGAGGGTAGCTCTAAAAGCCCATAAGTATTCATATAGGTAACAATAACAAAATAATACTAAAAAAATCAGAGTTAGGTTTCAGTATGTCCATCTAACCTTCATACTTGGTAGACAGTTTATATAGCTTCCTAGATTGATCTCCACCCTCCCTCCCTCTACTCCTTGTTTAGTTAATTCAACAAAGACTTTTTGCAATCTGTTTGGAGTTTGTCTGATGCTGTGGAAAAGTAGCTGCTGATTTATTTGGTTGCTTTTCGATTTCTGTCTCTAGCCCGTCTTTTCTCCTCCTTTCAGCGGGGATGTCAGCTGTTATTACTTCCTATTGATCCCTTTGCAAAGTGAGAAGTGAACTAAAATTAATGTCAATTCCACTGCTCGGATCAATAGCTGGAGTTATTTTAATCTGGATTTGCGCGAGGTGCTAAATTAAAAAAAATCAGCATAGAGGCAGAAAAGTAGCAGCTCCTCACTCCACCTGTGCCCACTGCCTTCCCAGCACCTAAATGTTCCCTCCAGCTGATTACCCTGCAATCCATATTTTTTTAATTAAGAAGGTCAGTTAGTTTTCTTATATTTGGGTTCTGTATTTAAACCTATGACATTTTGACATTGGGAGTGTATTAACGATAGATTTTCATAATGACTGGTCTGCCGCAGCCTAATCTGTCCGTGTTGCTGGGGGGTGGGGAGGTGCTGGGCGATAAGGGAGCAAGAGAGAACGAAAAAGGAAGTGAGAGCTGAAAAAAAATTAAATTTGGCTGGCTGAGATATTGTAATGTGTTGATTTATTCCCGGTGTAATGAAGTTTGCAAACGAATAAACGGCCATAGTGATTCACAGTATCCTACAGGAGTGTCAAGTGTTGCAGCCAGATTACTAATTTATGAAATACATTTAACGTAATGGTGTGAAAGCACAAGTAAAAATAGAAAAGCATGCAGAGGGGGTTGCCTTTTCTGTGTTTTTCTGTGATTGCTCAGTTTTGCTTCCATGTGAATGATCGTTTATTTCTGAGAACAGAGGCTTATTTGCATGCATCACTTTGAATATATAATCATGTGTGTGTATTTATATTTACATGGTTATATAAGCCCCCAAAAAACTCTAAATTTGCCAGTGGCTGCAGTTTTCTGACCTCCAGATTTTGATCAGCCTCATGTGAAGCAGCAGAGCAAGAGTACCCAGGACTGCAGTGCTGACCAGGTTGCCCTTGGCATCCCTCACTCTTCCTCTCCCTGTCGCTGTCTGTGGCAAGAACTCAACGAGAAAGTTATTTAAAATTTGGAAGAGAGCAAATCCGTTAATGCGAGATACATAATCTGGTAATTTAGCAATGATGTCTGTAAGGATGAGTGCCAAATGAGGAAGCAGAGAGATGATGTCCACTCATCTTCACAATTCATAACAGTCAGTGGAGCGGCTGGGTACAGGATGGGAGTGAGGAAACGCTATCACTGAACTGCATTAAAGCCCCAGACTGGATTTCATACACTTTGTTAACCTAGGCTCCCTCATTCATGGAGTACAAAAGGCACTCCATTAGAGAGACACTCTTTCACTAAGTTTTATTTGAGATGTTTGACCCTCTGGATTTAAGAGGCACAATTTGTAACAGCTTTTTATTATTATATGATTTTTCTGGCCCTTTGAGCTCCAGCGGCTAGTATATTGTTTCAAAGTTACAGTCCTTGTATTTTAAGCTGGGTTGTGGGGCCTGAATGGCAGGCGGCGGAAGCTTGAAAGAAAAGGCATGAGATTGATTGGGGGAGAAAATAACAACACAAAAAGGCAGTGCGAACTGGGGGAGATAGAGAAAGAAGGATTTTCCCTTCTTTCACCCTGGGAGGGGGTTGTGCCTGACTGGGTGGTTGCAGCCAACCTGGGAGGCTCAGCAAGATGTGAGGCAGAAATTTTGTTAACATTTTCCTCTAAATGTTAATGGCACATCCAGGGCAGTTTACAAATCTACTTAAGAGTGAGTGCATTAGGAACTAAAATTACTGATCCATCCTCTCTTGTCCCCGACCCGAAAGGCAGACGCTTGCAGAGATCAGATGGCAGAAGCGCCCATTATGATTTTAAATATTGTCAGAGACGCCAGGCATTTTTCTGGGGAAGTCTCTTCTCCTTTGGCTCTCAGGGACCGTGTGTGCATGAGTGGGTGTTTGTGTGTTACACACACGCACACCGGGACACAGCCACATTGCTATATTCCAATGGTGTGTGTACATATGTATGATGGTATGGAATCCTGTGTGTGCAAGTACACATCTACCCATATGTACTGTGAGAGCGAGAGAAAATACCTGTCAGTTAAGTACGTCTCAAGCATCATGTACAGTTATAACCATGTGTGCTGTCTGATTTGGGTAACTGTGTACAATGGATATTTTTATGTTGGTCCTACATCCCCAAACCCCAAGCTAATAGCAGGGTGTGTGTATGTGGGGGCTTTCTTAAGTTTATTGCAGTAATATATATGTGCCACTTGCCATATAAAATTCCACTTATAATTTGGAGTTACTATGTTAATTTTAGACTGAACATTTTTTATTAGTGCATTATTAAATTTGCATGTTATTATGTTTGGTTTGCCTTTCATCCATCTGCACTGGATGATACCCTTTAACCTGGAGGGCCAGGGCTGACTCCACTAGTGTGTGAAGTTGTCTATTGATTTTCTTGGATGAGAACAGTGGCGCATCTCCGGCCGGTGGCTTGTAACACATGTGGCCACTCGGCTGCTGGAGCATCCCAGAGAAATGAGTGCAGAAACCTAATTGGTTGTGTTTTCTTTCCCTTTCTGTTTTCTTGCAGTGTTTGAAGGGTGATGATGCTCCAGTAATTTTCCCCGCTCCATTCCTAGGCATCGCTTTGCTTTCCTTCCGGGGAAGATCGTTCTGCGTGTGATCCTGCTGAGGAAAGAGACTCCGATGGACTTACACCGGGCAGCATTCAAGATGGAGAACTCACCCTATCTCCCCAACCCACTGGCCTCCCCAGCACTGATGGTTCTCGCCTCCACTGCCGAAGCCAGCCGTGATGCTTCCATTCCCTGCCAGCAGCCGAGGCCTTTTGGGGTCCCTGTGTCAGCAGATAAGGACGTGCACATTCCCTTTACCAATGGCTCATACACTTTTGCCTCAATGTATCACCGCCAAGGTGGGGTGCCAGGAGCATTTGCAAACCGTGACTTTCCTCCATCCTTGCTTCACCTTCACCCCCAGTTTGCACCCCCCAACCTGGACTGCACCCCAATCAGTATGTTGAACCACAGTGGCGTCGGGGCTTTCCGCCCCTTTGCATCCAGTGAAGATCGGGAGAGCTACCAGTCAGCCTTTACTCCAGCCAAGCGCCTGAAAAACTGCCATGACACTGACTCTCCCCATCTGCGCTTCTCGGACACCGATGGGAAGGAGTATGAGTTTGGCACCCAGCTCCCCTCCAGCTCCCCTGGCTCCCTCAAAGTTGATGATACAGGGAAGAAGATATTTGCTGTTTCTGGCCTCATTTCTGACCGTGAGACCTCATCCAGTCCTGAAGACCGGAGTGACAGATGTAAGTACCTCTGTTGATTTGGCGGTTCTTTAATTGTGCCTTGTTGAGATAGGCAACAGGTGATGGCCCCACAGTGCTGTGAGACTTTGCCGGAGGCAAAGGCAAAGCAGCCTTTCCTGCCTGCTGCGCTCAGCCATGTAATATTGCCTTGTTCTTCCAAAAGGATATTGACAGATTTTTAGGTGAAGGAAACTCACCTTCCAGCACATAGCTGGAGAGGTGATGTTGATCATGCAGAAAGCTGTCCATGCACCAGTGTGAGGCTATAGGTGCTGGTACATGTATGTGTGTAAACAGGGATGCAGCTGGAATGTGTAGCCAGGAACTTTCCCAAAGCTTGCAGCAAGCAGGTGCCCCCTGCTTTTTCAGGTGTTTCTTTCTGACCTTTTCTTCATGCACACCATTCTTAGAGCAAATGCATTGCCGACCGTCACAATTCATGCCTCAGCTTAGGACAAAAGTACCTTTTCCTCTGGTTAACTTAAGAATATTGTTGGCCACTGAGCTCCCTCTTTAAGACAAGTATAAATTGTTTTTACAATTCAATTAGCTGTTACATCATGTGCTTTCTCTGAGTGTTTCCCCTGTTTTGGTGCCCGTTGAAAGGTAATGTGCCCTTTTGCAGGCCAGTGATTGGACTGAAGGAACCCGGTCTGCTTGTTCATGACTGTAACTCCCTGTTCCCCCACAGCCTTGTCCCTTGTGGAGTTGCCTACACAGAGGGGCAGAGCTGTTCTTCATGAAGTGCAGGCTTTCAGGTTTGCAGAGCTGGGAGGTGACCCACAATGGGGAGTGGTCTGGGGGCAACAGAGCGTAGTACTCCAAGGAAGAGCGCTTACTTATGATTAGAGTTTTCCTGTAAACCCAGACATGTAATCAAGCAGTGAGAGGTTCGCTTTTCACATGGGCTCCTTTGTACTGTTGAATTTTATTAATAGAAAACAATTTTATTATTGTTGTTGTTATTATTATTACATTTTTTTTAAACAAAAACCTGCTGCACCGTTGCTTTCTCTCCCTTTCAGATGTGATTTTTCTTCTCCCCTTTATGATACCGAGGAGAGTAATAGAGACATTGTGGCTCTCTCTCCCCTGTCGGTGCTGCTTCCTCAGGCTGTCTCCTTGAATTAGGCACTGTGCTAACTTACCAGCGCTAAAAGACATCTGCCTAAACCCAGCGTACCTTTTCAATAAAAGTCATCATAAAATCAACCTGCCTTTTAAATCCATCGCTCTTTGGTTTTGAAATATGCTACAAGTGTGTCTTTTATTGTCAGCGTTTGCGAGGGTAGGACAATTCCCACTGATGGCAGGAGCTGTGTATTTCTTGCAGTACCAGTGTGATCTCTTGTGTCTCTCCCCCCTCTCCTTCTGATCCACCCCCGACCATGCTACTTTTTGTGCCGTAAGCTCTTTTCATTGTTCAGCATCTCCTCTCTCTCCTTTTGGGTCTGTAGGGAAAGTGGCTGTAGGTGGGAGCGCATGTGGATGTGTGGAGGCTGGTAATATAATTATCCTTGGGGGAGGCAGGTGAGATGGCAAGGCTTAGAGACATCTTTGTTGATGCTCTTTCCCTTATCGATATAACCTGGCTGGGAAAATGAAGCTTGCTCAAAAGAGTACTCTGAGAGATAGCGGCGGAGGAGAGGGTCCGCTGGCTAAATGAATTTAGAGCGCATCAGCCGCTATGGATCTTGCTGGCAAAATCCTGTCAGATACCCCATTTAAAGAAGTAAATCTGTTAAATGAATTAGACCACATGGAGCACAGCTGCGGACAGACAGACGCATCCACATCCATCGCCGTGCCTTGCCTTTGCCAAGAGCATGTGCCGAACGCGGGTCCGCTCCTTCAGGGAGCAGACGGGGCTTTGCACAGACGCAGGCAGGTTGACACTGAGTGCCAGTGCCGCTGCCAGTGCCGTGGCAGGGGACTTGCCAGGGAAAGGAAGCAGAATAAAACTTTGCAGGCAGCTTGGGAAACTTGGGCAGAAGTGGAAGGTGTTTTGTTGTATTGTTTTTGTTACCATGTTAAATTTCTTTGAGATGCCTTTCTGCACGGCAGAGCTGAGCAAATGCAACATCCCTGCTACTTCATCAACATTAAAATTTTTCTGTAACTACTAGGATGATGTACACTAAATATGTCTGTTGGCTCTGTATCATATTCCCATCACATATAGATAACTGCACTGTGGAAACTTCACTCCATTAAGAGAGTGAGTTTATTTGGTGTGTGCATACACACGTATGGGTGTGTTTGCTGGAGGCTGAGAGCAAGTTGTGGAGCTTTTAGAGGATCCTAATGGTCTTTGATGCTGGTCATCAGAAAAGAGAAACTTCTGAAGAATTTGAGATCACAGATTGCAGACAGAATGGTGATCCTCTTTTGCATTAACATTTGCAGATATATTTTTAAAGTTTCTGTAGAAATGTGTACCTTGGGGGTTTGTTGTCTCTGAGAAGTTTTGTGGATTCCTTGTGTAACTGTTACATATAAGCCTTTGTAAAAGCTGCCTACTTGTGCTCCTTATGGAGCAGGTAAGTGGATGTAGCTTCAAGGCAAAAGTGTAATTAATTAGGCTTTTCTACAACTGCAAGGAAAAATTGTAACATTTTCTTAGATATTCAACACCTTCCCATGTCTAACGGGTGCTTTTCAGGTTTGGAGAGCTTCACCATTTTGGTATGCTTTTCAGATTGCTGAAAGAGTTTGTGCTACATGGGAGCTGAATTACTATGATTGCCCTGCATGGTCTTCTCTTCCAATGCAAATGCCTTTTTTGAATAGATCATTAAAATATTTGTTTCATCTCATAGCTTAAATGGTGATTTTCTAGAGAAACTCCCCCCACTTTTCTTTATTTTTTAAATAAAATGTAATCACTGAATTTTAATTTCCCTGAAAAATAGGTTTTTGCTTGGAAGACTTTGCAAGAAAACAAGGATCAAAGTGAGACATTTGCACGTCAAGGAGTGTTTGGAAGGTGCTTATTTATTCCTCTGCAGCATGAGAGGAAAGTCTTAGCCTGCTTTCACTAGTGGAAGAAATTTGAAAAATTCAGTAAAATTATTTTTGATATGTTCTGGTGTATTCCACATTAGCACCTGGCCCCATAAAGAGATGTGTTCTTGCAGCAGAGGTTGCTCAGCCCTTTGCATAAACCTTTCCCTGCTTCTAAAGCAGGATGATGCTTGGACCCATACCCAGCATCTCACAAAGGGACAACATCTTTGGGGTGCTTTTGGGTGGGACTGCACTCTTTGTTAATCAGCATATTGGGCTGAGATTTAGGTATTATGGTCTGCATTTAGTTAAGTTGTCTCTTGCTGTAAAATGTGAGCATTCAGGACATCCGGAGCGATGGAGCGTACAGAGAACACGTGGAAACATGGAGCTTTTCCAGGGATAAGCAGACATACCATGTATTGGATGGGCCCATTCCCTTAGGTACTTACTGAGAAAAATAATGCCATTTGTTAGAATTTAGGAGCTTCTTGTAAAGCATGTGTTAAAGGCACTGGAAGACATATTTTATGGGTTTGTTTTAATAAGTGTACAATAATTGAGATTCCTAGGAGGAGAGGAAATAAATGGCATGTTTCTTTCTGCAAAAGAGATCTACAGCCCTATTTTAAAATCAGGGGAAAAAAAGAAAGATTCATGTTTTTTTACTTCTAATAAAACCTGTCTCAGTGTCCTTCAATCATAGTACCCAGTTCCTGTGGCACTGCTTTCCTACAAAATGAGAGGCAGAGGTCAGTGCCGAAGCCGGGACCTCTTGGCAAAGAGCTGGACCTTGTCAGAGCAGAGACCTCTGCCCCTGTGGGGCAGCCCACGCTCCCAACCTCCCTGGCACCACAGAGGATGGTTTCCCATTACTGTCTGCTGCTTGGTCTCCAGCACGTGTTCTCTGTGACTAGTGGTGGAGCACAGACCAATATGTGAAGGTGATCCTCTACGTCCTGGCCTCTGATTCAGTTTCCATCCTCTGGCCAGAGTATGGCTCTCCAAGTCTCAGTTTCCCTGCTCCTGCTGGTGGCCCTTGTCTAGCTCCTGCTGTGCCCAGGGGATGAACATTTGAATGGGTGCAGGCTGGGATCCTTGTTCATCCTTTGGGTCTGCTCAGTGTAGTAGGAGCGATTATATTATTTTTTTATTATTATCATTTTTGATTATCATATTTCACCTTGGACATAGTTTGTGCTGCAACTGGTTTCTGCAGAAGTTGTATTTGTGAGCTCCTTGTTCCGCCTTGGGGTTTTAAAGAACATCTCTAGCATGGAGTTAGTTTTAGTTTTCCTTTTGAAACAACTGGTTTGTTATTGGTCAAATGTAAATTGCACTTCAGGTGATGGACATCAAGGCTATGATGACCACAGCATGAATTCTTGAATAGTGTGGTGCTTTGGAAATCAGATCAAGGGCTGTCTGTGCAGTCACCCACCTGCCCAGACATGTGTTGGGATTTGTGTTATGACCTGTGTAGAGAGTTGTGTTTGTCTATGTACGTGTGCTGCCAGGAAGAAGGTGGGGGTTTTATTTGTGGCGGAACAGTGGATTGGAGGGGGAAGGCACATGTCCACACGTCCACTGCTCACAACTCTTCCCTCTGGGATGCACCACCTCCAAGGCTGGTAAAATTTAGGGTCTAACGCAAAGTGATGCTTTGTTGCTAATCATAATCAGCCACGATCATGGGAAATTGCAAGCTTAACTCTGCTTGTGAAATAATGAAATAAATCGAGTGGAATGTTTCTTTCTGTCATGCAGTGCCCTGCATGATGTAGGAGTGAAGAAGCAACAGTGGAATTCTGGAAGGGCTGGGCAAGCAGATGGGCACTAGCAGGGATGACAGCCATGCATCCATCCCTGTTGCTCCACCAAACACACACCATCCTTGTGGAGTAAAGTGTGCTGCATGGAGGTCTTGGAGCATGCAGCAATCACCTCCTTTTCCTGTTTTTCTGGCAACAACCTTCCTTCTCCCCCTGCAAACT